CTGTTTCTGTTCTTTCCTTATCGATTTTCTGCTGAAATACTTTCTATGCTTGGCCACAATTATCTACTACTTATATGGATATAAGTAACCCACGCCACAGTATCTAACAATAAAATCTAGAATACATTCAACTATTAATTTCCAGTAAACTAATGAATAATCTCAAAATAGTTGATACCTGAAAACTAAAAAAAATCTACTAACATTTCAGCACATATAGTTAAAAGTCTTTTATCAGGAACTGTGATATCCTGTTTAAGTATCCTTGTAAATCTATGCTAATAAACTCCATTATTAGATATATCATTTATCTATAAAATAGAATTCTTATAGACAAGTGAAATGATAAATTTGGTGTCTTCTTTTATTTTTTCTTGGCGATTTGAATACATCACTAGACAACTATTACATTCATCAATCAGAAGGAAAAATATGCGAACAAATCAGTAAACAAACTGACACTTTTAGTACTCTTTTTTTTGATGAAGAAAAAAAACAAACGTGTAAATCACACGTATTAAATTGGCATTCAACATGTGCATCAGTCACGTACATACTTTTGAGTAAATATGATTCAGTAAAAACTGAAAGCCATTTAATCTGTCACCTTGTCTCATTGTCATATTATTATAACTTCTATGTTAACATATATATTTAAAGAGAGAGAGAGAGAGAGCAACAATTAATGCATACATAATTATTTTGCATATTACACCGTTACTGAAAACATACTACTTAAATGAATCGTAAAAATAGACATTGTCATGTGTCTTGTGGTTTTATGGTGATGCTACTTTCGGAAATTCTTGTTTAATCAGCTGGTAAATCAACGTCATGAAAGTTAGATTAAATTACATTTATTGTATGAGCTTTAGTTAATTGTTTACAATAATAAATAGCTTAGATTTTATTTCACTAATACCTAGAAGTATACACTTAAACAATAAAGGGAAATTACGGTCTAATTATATAGAATAAAAATAAGATGAATACATAAAATAACTATGTGTTTAGTATACGTTACAATGTTTTCTAAACATTCTGGTCAACACCATCTGATTATCAAGTAAAGCACTTTAGTCTATGAAATAAATTATTTAATATTTGAATTCATGAGTCGATTAAAGCTGGACCACCATGGAAAACCTGGAAGCGCTGGAAAGCCGTTTCATCCTTTCGTGGGACTCCTCCCCACGACACCACCTAAAGAAGTTCGGACATAGGACCTATCGATCTCGCACGTGAACGCTTAACTACTAGACCATCGAGCCGGCCGGGATCCAACGATGTAAATTTCTAACTTCAACCATTGTTTTCAGTGAGTTAATATCCCCCAACAGACCCGGTTGAACTCCACTGGTCACTGCTTCTCATTAGAACTCCAGGAAATACCTCTTGAAGTCAGTCACTAGTGAGCACATGATTATTATTATTATTATTATCAAATTGAGGGTTTTTGTGGAGAATGTAGTAATTTAATAGTTGAATTCATAAGAAACCTTGAAGCACCTGGTGCCAGGTGATCAGGAATGCTCCGATCCCAGATAGATGCTCACCAATGTATCTTGTTGGGTTGAAACCCGCGACGAACCCTAATCGGGTGCGCTTGGATGCTACGGCTGTCCAGTGCTTTCAGGTTTTCCATGTTGGTCTAGCTTTAATCAAGTCATAAATTCAACTATTAAATTACTACAATCTCTACAAAAAAACCCAATCTGAAAACAAATTATTATTCACCACAAAAAAAGTTATAAGATAAAACATAGTGGTTTAATGAACACTAGATAATATTGAAGATATCTAGTTCACTATTGATAAGTATCTAGTTGAACTATCTTTTATTCTGTATCTAAACAACACTGTGATCTGTTCATAGTCTTTAGTATCACTTTCTATTCATTATCGAATGTAAGACAATGGTAATTAAATGAACGTGTAATTATGACAATATCATAAAGTTAACGCATATGATTATTTCAGACAACAGACTACTTTTCTAAGTCAATCAATCATTTCAACTGTGTATAATTGTTTTCTCTGAAATAAGAAACCTAATGTCAGTTAATAAACTATAAATATTGGAACCTAATTTTAATCTAACTAATTATTGACTGATTTTAAATGGAATGTTTTAATGTTATTGTTTTTTCAATTATTTTGGTTCTATTCTTCAAAAAGTTATTAATGCCAGATCTACAGTATTACATAGATGTATATATAGAATATTCATGGAAGTAAATATGATGACAATTTCTGATTTTTTTTCATTTATGTTATATCTAGAGGTTAGATTCTTGATATACCGCGTACAACTTGAGCACTCGAATGCTAGAACCATCTAAGTAGCAAATCAGAAGGTAGAAGACAAGTCAAAAGAATGCTATTTCAAACATTTTTAGTAAAAACGAACTCATGATTATAGTCATCCATTCTGCATACATGGGGTGTTTAGCATTTGTTTAATAGAAAAGTTACACGTAGAGATTCTGGAATGTTCTTCCACAAGATGATTAGATGAAATATTTTCGGCTCTTTCTAAGCTTCTTAGAGCTTCCTGAAGTTCACCCGTGGGCCGTCCCCAAAATTTGCATTCTCAAATTCAACATTTGATAAAATTAGGACACATTAACCTAATAGTAATAATAAATTACAATAAAATATCTACATATTGAAATCAAGATTTGATTTAATGGTTTGAAAGAAGTTTAACCATTCAGTAAATGATATTCATTATTTAGAATTCACAACCATTTCAGCTTTATATACTTATTATTAACTAACAGTCTATACCTACCTATTATTTTGATCAATTCATTTACTTAAAATAATTTAAATGGGAATAATCGTTTTATCAATTGTTGAATATATAGATAAACAGAATCAAGTATGAATAGGAAACCAACTGTTAATAAGGTTGAAAAATGTACAATATCGGTATTTGTAATATGAACAGAAAATTAATTGATATTTATATATTAGATAGCTACTGGAAGTGAAGTAAAGAATAAATGTTTCTTTCTATTGAGAACTTATTAAAGGAATTCATTGTGATGAACATAGAAAGAAAGACAATATTGTGTTACCCTGTCAATGATCCTATTCCTAAGCATAAAAGTAGGGAAATCACAAAAAAAATTATATCAGTCGCAGGATTTTGAGTTTTATACTTATAAACCACATATCACAAGGAAATAGATTATAATAATTAACGAAACCTATCATTACACAATGATAATCTGTTCCTGATCCGGTCAAAAAATAACTGTTAGCACTGAAGTGTAGGTTATGTTATCGGAAAAATTATCGATATATGTTAGATGGTTGAAGGTAGTCGATATGAAACTATGGACATGGGTTTCATACTAGTTGCCATTCACCTGGAAGGTATATGTGTATTCTTGAGGAAATTGATGTTTCTCATGGATTAAAATCAATATCATCCAATTTAACAATCTGTGAGGTCACCAGTTAAATATTCGAATAGTGACTGACCTTCCGTAAGACTGGAATATTTACATCTATATATATATATCGTAGTGTTGAGTTTTCTACTTGATTAACGCAGTATACGGACTACAGCTACGGCACTCGAAAGTATAGAACCCACACAGTCGCAAATCAGTATACAGAAGAGGGCTGAAGAATTGCTTGTTGGGTACGAATCGAAATGTATAGAAAATCATGGGTATTTATAAATAATAGCATTTGTTATATTAACATTATAATTCAGCCAAATCACAAAGAGGCATGTTATGCTACTGTCTAGTAGTAGCATACCACGTTGATATTCTAGAAAGCTCTATCACGTTTTGATTGAATGGAAATTCTTTAGCTCCTTTAAGGTCTCTAGAGGCTTCATCCTAGTTCTCAGCACCCATGCCAATGGATAGGACACTGACAATCTATTAAGAACATTTAAAAACTCTTTTGAAATTGACTAGTTTTTAAATGATTCAACTCATAGAGAATCTAATAAGCTTATTATCAATTCATTCATGAATTCACAATCATTGTTTGATACATGCACTATAAATTAATAGTTTATCCTGATTTCCTGTTTAATATTCAAGAGGTTTAAAGACTTACCTAACCTTTTCTATCATTCAATGTTGTCTCTGTTCTTCCATATACATATATATAACTCACACAAATCTCATTTATCATTAGAAGAGCATCAAACCATCAGATAATATTTCAAGGAATCTAATAAAGAATTTCAGTTTCAGTAAGCTTTTAATTAAAAATAACCTAATCTATTTTATATATGTATATACATTTAAGCTGCTATCTATTGAATGTTCTGAAAGAAAACCAAAATATAAAAGCAGTAAATAAAAGTGATTATCAAATAAGGTAATAAACAAGAAATTAATTGTCAATCAAATTAAATCCTATTTAACATTGTACCATACACATTGATAATGGAGCTTTTATTTATTAATTTATGTATAAATTATTTATAATAATAGCGATAACAATATAAGCTAGTGACAAGATTATTAAATGACCGGTGGTTCATAAAAGAAACAACAAAAAAACGAGACAAACCAACAACAATAACAACAACATCCTAACCATAATCATTTTAGATAAGATAGATGAAATTCA